ACTAAAACTTTTAAAGACTTGTCTGTAATTTAATATTTTTACATTTATTTCCTTATTGACTAAAAAGCCATCCACCCCACTGCTGTGTGTTATTATCTGTGGGTGTGTAGGAGACTGTCGTTTTTCTCTGAGTGTTTATGATTTGGGTTTCCAATGTCAGTGAAGTGTCTGCCAGGATAACAGTGGGTTATAGTGCGGCCGCCAGGGACAGCAACAGAAATAATACTGTGACATTTTGTTTATTGATAATGTTCAACATTCTGGATTCATATAAATGTATCAGAATGATGCAGTAAACCAAACCAATTTTGTTTATTGATAATGTTCAACATTCTGGATTCATATAAATGTATCAGAATGATGCAGTAAACCAAACCACCTTTAACTCTTTCCCCTGACTACTCTTTCTGAAGTGGACATGTCGTCACATGACTGTGTGTCTCTGATTTCAGACGTCGTGCGTGGAGAAGACCGGCACTGACGAGAAGATGCTCATTAAAGTGTTTCGGTGTCTGGGCAGCTGGTTCAACCTGGGAGTCCTCGACAGTAACTTCATGGCCAGTAACCAGCTGCTCATGGTCCTCTTCCAAGTGCTGGTGGGTTTCATACTGGGTTTACAGGGATGTCTGCTTTCTGTTTACATTCAGGAGGTGTCAGTCATTTATACCTGCGTAATGTAAAACACCATACATAGTGTTACAGCACAGTGCAAACATGAAAACAGACCTTTTCTTTCAGTTGAAATTAGTTGCTGATGTTTCCTTTTATGTTCTGTTGTCACAGCAGAGGGACGAAACCTCCACCAACCTCCACGAGGCGGCATCGGACTGTGTCTGCTCGGCGCTCTACGCCATAGAAAACGTGGAAACCAACATGGCTTTAGCTCTGCAGCTCTTCCAAGGCGTCTTGACACTGGAGACTGCCTATCACATGGCTGTAGCCCGGGAAGACCTCGACAAGTGAGGACTCGCATGAAGCTGGTGCTCTCAGAGTTCTGTTGCTCAGAACACAGTCACCCCTATGTTTGATTTCTGTCCTCAGGGTGCTGAACTACTGCAGGATCTTCACTGAGCTCTGTGAAACGTTTTTAGAGACAACGGTCAGGAGTCCAGGGCGGGGCATGGGAGACCTGAGGATCCTGGAGCTGCTGCTGATTTGTGCAGGACACCCGCAGTACGAGGTATGAAACATCTACAACCTCCTCGGGTATAAAGGCACCATGGCACCCTGCACTTTCAAATTGTAATTCTGGTCTGTGTGATCTGACCCAGGTGGTAGAGATTTCCTTTAACTTCTGGTACCGTCTTGGAGAACATCTGTATAAAATCAACGATGCAGACCTTCACACCATCTTCAGACCATACATACAGAGACTTCTGCACTGTTTGGCCCGACACTGTCAGCTCGATCCTGATCACGTAAGAACCCAGACATCCAGTGTACACAGATCCCCACAGTACCTGAACTTCATTAGGCAGTCAGACTAAAAACTGTAGCCTTGAACCATCCTGGTTGTGTTTATGAAAGAGTTAAATATGTAAATCAGCCAGATGTGAATCCTAAAACCATTCCCTCTGACCTTCAGTGTAAAGTTGTTTTTATCCGGCAGGAGGGAATCCCAGAGGACACAGATGATTTCGGAGAGTTCAGGATGAGAGTGTCTGACCTTGTTAAAGATGTAATTTTCCTTGTTGGCTCCATGGAGTGTTTCTCTCAGGTAACTTTAGTTCTTCATCTGCAAATGAGCCCAACCTACAGGTCTGTTTGGAGTATGAGAACGTACTCTACTGTCTGTTCACAGTTGTATTCTACGTTAAAAGACGGGAACCCTCCCTGGGAGGTGACAGAGGCCGTTCTCTTCATCATGGCTGCAATCGCAAAAAGTGTCGATCCGTGAGTATCTCAAGAGTCAGTTTATCTTCTGAACAGGAAGAAAATGTTCTGAGAAACAAATCTGATCCAGATGAAATAGTGAACATGTTCAGATTTAAAGATGCCAGTTAACATCGAGTTGTTTTTCCTTTAGAATTCTGTTCTTTCAGAGAACAGCCTGACACCATCCTAAATACTTTTTATTATAAACTCTGACTCTGTTTTTGTTTTAACTTTCAGAGAGAACAACCCGACTCTGTCTGAGGTGTTGCAGCAGGTGGTTTTACTCCCAGAAAGCGTCCACATGGCAGTTCGGTATACGAGCATCGAGCTGGTCGGAGAGATGAGTGAAGTTGTGGACAGAAATCCAAGATTCCTTGGTAAGAAGATGTTTCTGAAAAATAAAACCTGTTTTAATAGTCTGATCTTGCTAAAACAAAAGTCAGAGTTGGGCCTTCAGCTGCTGGGTTTCTTGCAGATGTAACTGAGTCAGGACATGGAGAAAGGAGACAAATCTCTGGCTGTTTGACTCTGATTCTGTTCAACTGTGCATTTCCTGTGACAGACCCAGTATTGAGCTACCTGATGAAAGGTCTGAGAGAGAAACCTCTGGCGTCAGCAACAGCGAAGGCGATCCACAACATCTGCTCAGCCTGCAGAGATCATATGGCGCAACACTTCCAGGGTCTGCTGGACATCGCTCGCTCCCTCGACTCGTTCGCCCTGTCCACCGAGGCCGCTGTGGGACTGCTCAAAGGTACATTAGTACACCTGTAGTGACCTGCAGCAGTGTGACATGAGCACATGTTTAGAGATGCAGGTTTACATGAAAACACAACAGGGGTGATCGACTCATAAAAGTGTTTTATTTACCTTTATAGGTACAGCTCTGGTCCTGGCTCGTCTTCCTCTGGAGAAGATCGCTGAGTGTCTCAGTGACCTCTGTGCTGTTCAGGTCATGGCTCTGAAAAAGGTAAATCCCTGTGTGGCCACTGTGTGGTTAAATGTGTGTGTCAGTTTTCTGTGTTAGCTAAATTTGTTCATTGATGCAACACTAGAAACAGAAGCCCAGAGTAAAAACATTATAACTAAAGACAGTTTGTTTCAGCTTCTGGCTGAAGAATCTACAAATGGTAAATCGGCTGACCCCACCGTGTGGCTCGACAGACTGGCTGTCATCTTCAGGTCAGTTCACCTGCTCATTTACCTGTAGTCAGACTTGATTTAAATGAACAGAGGTGTTCATACACTTTGTTTTTCCTACAGACACACAAACCCCATTGTAGAGAACGGACAGACTCACCCCTGTCAGAAGGTCATCCAAGAGGTAAAGCACCTGATCTCACCTGTGATTTCCCCGAGAAGCTCATCTGAATGTTTACTCCTAAAAAGGAATTGACTTCTACAAAGTGTGACTCACCTGGAGATCTGATAAGTATCTTATACGTATCGCCTGTGGCACTCATGTAGATCTGGCCGGTGCTGTCGGAGACTCTCAATGCTCACCAGGCCGATAACAGGATTGTGGAACGATGCTGTCGTTGTCTCAGGTTCGCTGTACGATGTGTCGGGAAAGGCTCCGCCTCCCTGCTGCAGCCACTTGTCACTCAGGTGAGAGGCACCTGTACTGGTTTCCCTGTTCTTCTTTTCAGTGTGCTTACAGTGGTCAATTGTTTACGTTTAACTGTCAGGAACAGTTTGTTCATGTTGTTGTGTGATGATCGCTTTGTCCTCTGGGGGTGCTGTTTTTTAAATCATACCTGTGGTGAAGAGGATCGGTTGATGTCACAGTGTTACTGATCAGTCACATCTGTTTTGATAGTTTAGGTAATTAAAACCAAAACTGTATTCAACAGGAAAACAACTGGACCCTAACACCTGTAATCTACCTGTTGATCTGTTTTCTGATTGGATGTTTGTTGTCAACAGATGGTGAGTGTGTATCAGATGTATCCACACTCTTGCTTCCTGTATCTGGGCAGCATCCTGGTGGACGAGTACGGCATGGAGGGGGGCTGCAGGCAGGGACTGCTCGACATGTTACAGGTAATAATCACGTCCTGGACACCACCCATTCAGCATGCCGCCCTCAGGAAGAAGATACAGCAGCATCAAGAGCAGAACAAACAGAATAAAAAACAGCTTCTATCCATGCGCTGTTAGAATATTAAATTGTCCCATAAAGTCTTAAAAACCATTTCCTCCTTTCAAGACAATCATTTGTAACTTCATTGTAATTGTAACGTCCTTGTTTAGGGCACTGTGCAATGCAGATTATCCAAATATATATTCTATCAAATTATATTTGTTTTGACTATTTATGTATTTATTTTTCACTCAGGGGTTTGTTTCATGAATACAGAGAGCTTACAGTTTCCTTATGTTTACATATAATGACAAAGTTTGAGTTGACTGGACTGGACTGGACCAGGTCAACACACCCATCTAGCAGGTGTGAAATGGTCTCATTTTGACAGGCTGCTCTTGGACTGAAATTTGAATCCAGTGTGACTGTAAAAGAAGGATGATGATGATGATGATGATGGCCTCCTCTTCCTTCTGCAGGCTCTGTGTATGCCAACCTTCCAGTTGTTGGAGCAGCCAAATGGTTTAAGGAATCACCCCGACACTGTGGACGACCTGTTCAGGCTGGCCACCAGGTGAGTCTGCGGGTTCACCTAAGCAGAAAGGCTTTATCTACCTGAGGGTTGATTCAGGAACATATTAGATATCTGCCTGTATACCTGCTCAGGTTTGTCCAGAGGAGCCCCGTCACTTTACTCAGCAGCAGCATCATCGTTCACATCATCCAGTGTGCCATTGCTGCCACTTCACTGGACCACCGAGACGCCAACTGCAGCGTCATGAAGTTTGTCCGAGACCTCATCCACACTGGAGTTGCCGACGACGTGAGTCAGCAAAGAAAAGGGGCTTTTCCATTATGGGAACCTTCCGAAAAATGTGGCGCCGAGTAACACTGGTTATGGGTTCTGTGTTTGTTTCCATTACAGTGCGCCCACTTTGAAGGTGCATTCTTGGAGCTAAAATACCGCTCGCTAGGTTCCCATAGTGGAAATGCAGCAAAACAGACTGAAACTTCACTGATGATGATTCAGATTAGACTTCATTGGAAACCTGCCACTGTAGAAGGAACAGACATCAGTTTGTACACTACAAGCATGATTTTGTCGCGTAACTGTACCATCTCTCTTCACCTTATAATCGTGATGGCAATCTCCATCCCTGCAGTATGAGGAGGACTTCGAGGTGAGGAAGCAGCTGATTGGTCAGGCCATGGAGCAGCACGGTCAGCAGCTTGTCACTCAGCTGATGCACTCGTGTTGTTTTTGTCTGCCGCCGTACACGCTGCCCGACGTCGCAGAGGTGCTGTGGGAGGTCATGGTGTTTAACAGACCTGTGAGTAAACACACTGACACCTGGTCAAGCGTGTCCCCTGTCTGCCCTCAGGTACTGTTGTATCAACTCTCTTTTCTTTCAGACGTTCTGTCGCTGGTTAGAAAACGCTCTGAACGGGTTACCAAAGGAAACGTCAGGGGGAGCGGTGACAGTCACTCACAAACAGCTGACTGAATTCCACAAACAGGTTACCAGGTGAGACACCTGCAGAACCTCACACACGAGCAGCAGCCCCTGATGTCTCTTTGGTCAACATCAAAGCTTCTGATTGACCAAACTTTATGCCCCTAGTTTATAGGAAAGGCCGATTCTTGTTGAGCACACTGGAAAATTTAACCTGCATCAGAAGTGATCCAGCAGGTGTACAGTCTTACTGACAGGTGTTGCGGGTTCTGTGAAATCTGAATCATGCAGACTTCATATTACTGTTGAAGTTCTGACAGTGAATTGGTAATCAAGTGGTGTGATGAGAAACTGTGTTGACCTTTAATGTCAAGGAGTGCCCTGATTGGTTGACATCATGTCACATGATTAGGTGATGAGGTCACTCATGGGAACTGCTATGGGAACCTAAAACATAGACTGGTAATTATCAGAGGTGGAAAGTAACCAAGTACATTAACTCAAGTACTGTACATAAGTACAATTTTGAGGTATCTGTACTTGAGTATTTTCATTTTCTGCTACTTCAGCTTCTCTTCATTTCTGTTAAAAATATTGTACTTTGAACTCTCTGTGCTTAGTTGATAATTTCCTTTACTAGTTATTTTTCAGTCAGATTAATAAAACTAAATACTGTACAGTCATAAGACTCATCGATCCTCAGTATAAAATTCACAAGCTACCTAGCTTAAGCAAATTAAAATTAGCTCTGCTTTTACCAGCTGCAACATCATGTACACAACAACGCATCAATAATTATAGATCAATAGTATAATGCAGTGGTCCCCAACCCCCGGGCCGCGGACCGGTACCGGTCCGTGGATCAATTGGTACCGGGCCGTACAAGAAATTATTAATTATTTCCGTTTTATTTATTATCTGAGTATGAACGATCTTTTATTTTGAAAAATGACCGCATTCTCTCGGTTACATCTCGGTCACTTGAGCGCCAAAACTGGCTTACTTGTGGACATATTCAGCCTGCTCAATGAACTCAATCTGTCACTTCAGGGGAAAATGACAACTGTCTTCAAGTTGGCAGATAAAGTAGCTGCATTTAAAGCCAAACTGGATTTGTGGGGACGGCGCGTCAACAGAGGCATTTTGGACATGTTTCAAACATTAGCGGGGATTTGGGGTGACACTGAGCCTGAGTCTTCATTCTCCCAGCTGGTGCACGATCACATGTCTTTGCTTTTAAAAGAGTTCGAGCGCTACTTCCCAACCACAAAGGACCCACGAACTGCCAAGGAAGGGATCCGCAACCCATTTGTCAACAAACCAGGTGAATCCAGCAGGTCTGTGCAAGAAGAAGATCAACTGCTGGAGATCGCAAATGACGGCGGCCTTAAAAGTATGTTCGAGACAACAACTCTGTCGGTGTTCTGGATTAAAGTCATGACAGAATACCCTGAGATCGCCACCACAGCACTGAAAACCCTGTTGCCATTTCCGACATCCTATCTGTGTGAAGCAAACAAAACAACGGAGTAGACTGAACATAAGCAACACACTTTGGGTGTCATTGTCTCCTATTACCCCCAGTAATGTATATTAATGTTACCTTCTGCATAAAGAATACTTTTACTTCTGGTATTTTTAAGTATACAGTGAGGAACAGAAGTATTTGAGCACCCTTGATTTTGCAAGTTCTCCCACTTAGAAATCATGGAGGGGTCTGAAATTCACATTTTAAGTGCATTCCCACTCTGAGAGACAGAATTAAAAAAAAAAATTTCAGGAAATCACATTGTATGATTTTTAAAGAATTTATTTGTCTAGCGCTGCTGAACATAAGTATTTGAACACCTGAGAAACAGCAAGAATTCTGGCTCTTAAAGACTTGTTACTGTGTCTTGAAAAAGTCCACCTCTACTCCACTCATTAATCTAAATTAGTAGCACCTGTCTGAGCTCTTTAAAGACACCTGTCCACCCCACA